GAGCACCACATCGTTAGGTGTAGTCGCTCTGTAAAGCCGCAGAATCACTGGGGAGGCGTTGTCACATATATATATATATATATATATATATATATATATATATATATATATATATATATATATCATTTATGGCGTGATTCAATTGCTGTGCTAAATACATACTCAACAACGAAAAATTGCCGTCAAGTTTTCGAGTGAAAAGTCAAAGTTTCTGGTAGATTTCTTTCCGTCGTCATTGAAAACATTTGCACGGCTCCCGACACGACCTCGACTGAGCGCAACATTCAGCTGCGCGTTTCTCAACAGTGTTACTGACGCAAATTGAGTGTTCTGTCAATGTTGCTGCAGATCCTAATAACAAATGTGGTAGGACTTCCCTCATGACACGTGGTCTAGAAATACGGTGTCTTTCGAAAACCGCCTCAATGTGCAATCAGATACTTTGCAAAAGCGAAATTCATTCGCTTTTTTACTTTAACGTGATCACCTTTAGATAACGCCGACCACCGTGACTTGAAGTGGTGCCCAGTCCTTTACGGCCATACCAAACCCGTGTCCTTTAAAAAAGCTTTTCAAACCTAGCCCATGGCGCGGCTGCTCAAACGAAAATCTCGCTGCCTCCCAGGAGACGCCAGCTTCCATTTACAAGTTAGCTTTGACGGACGACAAGCCATCATTAGAGTGTGAATATCTTATCGAGTGCCGCAAGGTCTGCTTTGGTCTATAATGCCTTATTAAAAATATCTACATACGCTTTGACAGATTATCTTCACCATCGCTTAAGCGATTTACACGTAATCAGGAAATATAATATAAGTACGAATTGTCTACCTAACTTAAACGACTAACGTTGGCAATTATATCGGAAGTTTCCCAACTGAACCTGTGTTAGGTACCCACGTTTATTGTGAAATTTGGTGACTTGTACTGCAGCTGTGTAGCAGCTTCTTGAATATATGGACGTGGACAGGTTTGTTGCCAAATTTTGTTCTTCCCCAAGGTATAGGTATTCCCTGCCTTCCCAATACTGTAACCATAGTCGCTCTTGTTCACTTGGACTTTACCGGGAACTCAAAGATGGATGAGTAGTAAATCTGAGGAACCTGATTTTTTATCCCCACTCGCCCAAAAGAGTGCGCGGATTATCTCGCGGAACCCATCAACGCTCAATTCAACCGCTGCTTTACGAGTGGCACCAACCTGGACAGTAGAAGATCTATACGGATAACACCTATGCCAAGGTAGGAATCTCAGGTATATCGTCTGATTGCATGTACGTCGGTGACGTTTAACTTCTTTGCGAAACTACTTACATCTCGGATGCTCAAGCGCATTTAGGCAGAAGCGGTGTGCCAGTTTGCCTATAAACCCAATCGCTCCACGCTGGATGCTGCATCGCACCTTTTACAAACGGGATCATGGGAAATAGCTGAAAAACATATAGCAGTGCGCCTACTATTACGCGATAGTGCAGAGGCTGTTAAGCTTGTTAACAGCTCAATTCTAATCCATCGACTGCTCACGAGTGAGGTTCATACTAATGTCTGCAGCGTGAGCAAAGACTAATTGACAAACCTTACCAGATTCACACAGCTTATCGGAATATTCCTCGACACTTTGTTCCTTGCTTGGTATTACACTCCAAGCGATACCATCCCTACTGCTTTTTCTATATCGAAGACCACCCTACGCTGTCCAACGTTTCGGAGGAAAGTTTGCGGATTATGTCGTTTGGAATGCATATCACCAAAGGCTGGTACATCTAACCTTCAGAGCGATCAGGATGAGTTCGTTCTGGGCTCATCGACTAGCCCAGAACATTCGTAATGTCGTCCCGTAACTTTTTATTTTATTCGAATTGATCACCCGCAGGCTATTATGAATGTCCATTCATGACTGGAGGTGACAGCAGCGGTCAAATATCATGGAAGCTTTTTGTTCCAAAACCTAGCTTGGTCTACACGCGTCCATTAAACTCTTGAAAAGCTTAGAAGGTTTTTTATGCCCCAGACGTAGGAGGCTTTTCGGACCTCAAGCTTTGATAATTAAATTGGTGGCTGCATGAAAGCTTCTCACAGCAATACAGTTCGGAAACAATTTTTACTGGGCTATTAAAGAAAGAATATCTATCGTCGTTACGCTAGTTAAAACGTATCGCTAGATGTAGAGGACAGACTAGAGGGGCACTTGTTGATTTTATTTTCAAAAAACACGAGGACGATTGTACTAGCTATTTTTCAGTTCTAAACCACGCTTTTTAGCCTTAGAAAGCACAATCTGTATCGTTAACAAGCCCTGAATTCGGACTCTTATTTCCCCTACGGTTTCTCGCAACACTTCTATCCTACGGCAGGTGACACCATTACTTGTGGACTCAAGGAAACTCACCACCATGATGCACAGTATTTGCTCAAGTCATACACAAGCATATTACATTGGATCATTAGTTAATTTTTATCCAATATTTCTCTCGTATTTCTCCATTCGCATCGATAATGTAAAAATCTAAAAATGTATCTACCCAGCCGCGTAACGACTAGTTAGGTTCGATTTGACTGGTCTTGACTGGTAAACAACCGCCGTGACAACGAGTCACACTTGCGGTTCCACGGCTTTGCCACGACTACCGTCAACTTATCGTCTGTCGGTAGCTAAGTGTTATTCTTCATGCGCAGGATAACGGTGAGTGAAGTGTACCAACTATTGGACAACCGGCTAAGCTTAGGAAACAAATGCGACAAAATTCACAACTGCACAGTATGCATCGTCTGTTCCAAGCAGTGTCAGGTTACCGCGAATCAGACACCCTAGGACAACTCCCAAACCTCGAATTCCTGTGTTCTACCTTCGCAACAATTATCCGGCTTACGTCAGTGTCCTGCTGTGACCTCAGTCTATTTGGAAACATTTACACATTATCGCCTACCGCCCCTGCTACGCTTCATGTCCGCAAGTTTATTGTCAAATACGCAGCCATGCATGTTGCTGTGCGTTTTATATGTAACAGATTCATGTGTCATTACCCCATGACATGTATGCTAGCTTCTTGTCTCTTGCGCCATATTCGGCTCGCAAATCATGTAGTATGTTCTTCCAAGCAAGTACTAAACAGCGCGCCGAGGATTTAGCGCAGCTAAGCGTCCCATTTTTTCAAGGTGCCATAAAGTCCTCTTGTAGGGCCTACAATGGAGGCCAAAGCTATTAGACGCTTAGGCGAATTGCTTGCATTCGCATTAGGAAAGTAATTATAATTTGTGTATAGTTTTGTTGCTGACTAGTTGTAGACTTCCTTGGCTAATTTATTGTAAACTTGTCGCTATTTCCCAGTAGCTATGAAATTTAGCTAACAGCACGATGTTCACAAATCTTGGTTCTTGTTAATCTTAATGTGCGGCTTAGAAAATACCAATTTTATAACAGTATGTGAGATCAAATACACATGCTTTAATGACAATATCCTTGTCACAAGTGACTGCTGATTTAAATGTAAGCGCCACTATGTAAGCTGCCAAATAAAACGTTTTGCTAAATTAGCAACCAGGTTTACTAAAGGAGCAGAACTTCCCGTTACATCTCGAAATTGTTGCGGGATTTGGTACATGGTACGTACAGTAATACTTGTTATTCTACCTTTCTAAAGTAAATAATGAAATTTAAAAAAGTTCGCCATAGCTAAGGTTCCTTTAAGTCCTGATTCTAACTTAGCACACTGCTTGTTATCTTCTTTTGACGCGCTGGATTTTCTCAACCTTGGACTACGCCGCAGTTTTAAAGCATATGATAGTTTCTTGGGAACTAATTGATTGTACAATGGCGGGTTCACTGGAAGTTGAGTCGCCTTCTGTTCTTTAGTACAGCCATCTTGTGAATGTGAAAATTCTTTTTTAATACAACTGAAATTAATTATAAAACTTTTGCATATGTATCGAGAATTTTAGTTAATTACTTAAATAACATAATAAAAAATTATAGTGAACATTATTGACCCGGAATTAATGTATGTACTTGTATGAGTGAGTATCTATGCTCCATCTTTTTCAGAAAAACGGTAGTTTATAATGCCGCTTGTACAGCAACGAAAAATTTGGAACCAATTTCAGAGAATATATTCGGCTGCTGTGACAATCCTAGGTTGAAGTGCCGGTGGCATACGAAAATGCAGAGATTGCACTTGTTCTAGCTTCATTCCATTGCAGAAGCAAGAAGAGACAATCCAGCGTCGAAGTGCCCGGGGGCCGCTTCACTTACCGGCACACGAACTGGACGCTCGTTAGGCGGAAGCCTCTATCGTCCATCTGACTTGACTTGACCTGGACTCTTCACTTACAGACACAAGAAACAGGACGCTCGTTAGGCGAAAGCTTCCATCGTCCGTTGTACTTGACTTGACTTAGGAGAGCACTGTGTTTTACTATGCTATTGGTCCTTCTCGCATTGTATAAAGCAGTGTTCAGACATTATTTGGATTACTGTGTTCAGGTCTGGGCGCACTCCTTGTAAAAGGACCTAGATTGTATTGAGAATTTGTAAGGATTAACCACTCGAATGATAGTAGGCCAGCTGCGATTACCGTATGGGTTCCGGTTAGCCAACTTGAGATTGTACTCACTGAGTCGACGCAAGTTAAAAGGGACTTAATATACATTCAAGATCATGAAGGGTCTCAGCGGTCTCAAATCAACCAACCTCTTTGAATCAGCTACGTCAGACTACTTGCGGGGGCATAGCCTAAACATGAAATAGCAAACATCTACACTCGAGATAAGAGTTAAATTCTTCTCAAATCAAGTAGTGCCTAGCTGGTACAAACTTTCTTCTGTATTAGCGGAATATAAGACGGTAGAGGACTTTAAGCGAGGCCTGGACGAAATTTGGTTGGCCTTGTTCCCCAAATTCTTGTGAATACTCATTTCAACATCTAGCCACATGCAAGTAGCCTATGCAAATGCATGACAGTTTAGTGCCATTTTTCTTCTATCTTTCTCTCCTTTCTTTTTCTAGTGTAAATACGCGAGTTTATTATCACGTCGGTGCTAGGAGCTCTTCTCGCTTGCTGGCACACGAAACGGGGTGCTGATTAACCTGAAGCTTCGTCCCTGGATCCTGTCCTGCCCTGCAATGTAGAACTCCCGCCTGACGAGCATTTTCCAAGGTTGTGCACTCAAATGCTCCCATTCCTTTAGAGAGTGTGTGCGGCAAAAGCGCCCAACTTTTAATTTTCTGCCGTGTCTCCCTTCTATCTGGTCGAATAATTGTGTACTGCTCGCAGATTTCAATGTTACCCATTATCCTAACTGACATCTGCTCCATAGCTACTATTATTTCTGTCCAACACTTTGGACTTAAGGTTTTGAATTAGGTCATCGTACGCGTTCTTTCACCACAACCAAGAATAGGTAACTAATGTCTCCCATTCCCTTGCAGTTCTTACATTTCGTTATTGGCAATTAACACCCTCCAAGCTCATTATGAACCGCTTAGACTACCAGTCCTACAAACAATGGAAAAACAATGCATTTCGGCACAATTCACGGCTCAATAACTACTATTGTGCTCAAGCACGAAACTTACCACGTCCAGCTATCGCAAATGACTTTGGATACAGAAGTCAGGATTTGCAGTTTTTGATGTGCAATGCAAAAGACATTAACGTAAAGAAAGCAGTTAAGAGGGAAATACTCAAAAAGCTCATTCCGCTTAAAATGAAGAGGTCCAGGCCAGATGGTTAGTAAGTATTGCTTAGTTACTTATTTGCTAACCATAGCTTTTTATCAACTTAAACATGACAAAGGTTTGGGGGAAATTAGAAACAAAACCCAACGTAGCGTGCTCCACAGAACCAGCAATTTCGCGCCAACCAAAATGACCGTCAAATCTACGTTACCTTCATCTGCGTTTCGCCATCTCATATGTGGACTCCAAGGATCGACTGAGGGCCGATTCCTGTTCGAGGGCAGGAGATGCACGGCTGCGCACATTCTTGCAAGACTTAATTCACATTCTCATATTCGCAAGCTTCACCCAAGTGGCTTTTATGTTGTCTCGTAAATAACAATATGCTGCATTTGTAGCCGCCACGATGTTTGGCTGAGTTTAACGCAAATAAAACCATTGCTCTCATGATTTACTTTTTAGTAACAGTCCCATCTGCTTGTCCAGGAAATATCTGGGTGCAGCAGAATGACTTTGTACTGAAAATAACTGGCTACTTCTATACTAACCGGATATGCACAAATAAGCTGCCTTGATGCACTAAGCAATAAACCGGTGCAGCAATCGTCGAAATAGTGCAATATGTCTAACCACTGTTCATCTAGAGTGTGTACTCGGTTCAAATCAATAGCTTCTTGTTTTCTAATTCGTACTTTACCGACCACTTTATTACTGCTTACTGTTTGGAATCAGAAATAAAAGCTATCTCTGGGTACCAGTATCTAATATCACTCAGGTACAATGGTCCGTTAGGTTGGAGTGCGCTCGATATATTTTACGTCGGCAGTGTTTTCGCGGGGAGTCATTAACTTCCAACAATGACTTTGTTTCACTTACCTTCGGCCGCAGGTTGTTTCATACCTACCCCTCTATATGTTCGAAACAGAGTTGGTGGGCAACGCGCCTTACGTCCGGTACTACAGGCTTATATTGGTTTACTCGTGTGCTGCTTGGTGTGCGCATTTGCCGCAGTTTCCACATAGGACATTCATCGGTGATTTATGATGAGGTCAGCCCGCAGTCAATAATAAGCTTGGGTGTAGAACCTTAATTTCTTACACAGACCTTCGTACGTCACACATCGTAAATTGGAAATCAGCCTGATGGCCACATGCTGCACTTGATCAATCATTGCTACCTCTCCCGGATGCTCGAACAACACGCCGGAGAGCCACGCTCTAAAGTTAGTCATATTATTGAGACGAATATGCGAGTGGCAATTTCTTCGAAAAAAGTGCTGAAGCTGCGCATGAGTGCCCAAAGCATATAGAGACTGTTTTGCTAAAGCCTATTCGTATTGTATATGAGTACACCGGGGCCTCGCACCAAAGGCGATGGATACAACGGTTGACTGGACACAGTGTTGGTTCGACTTCTCACACTTACCTAGCCTCATGAAATGCGACTTGGCAGGCTTGATCGGAATGTTGACCACTGCAGACCACATGGAGAGGCGGTCGACTTTCTGCTGAAACAGGTCAAAGTCGTTGAGTGCGCGAATTACTATCCACTTGCAATAGAAAATCCGTTTCTATTAAGCAGGATGTGCTCATGCAGACCGTGGTATTCTCCAGTTTACCATAGCTCCCTCCGAATAACCGATTGTAAAAACGCCTCTTCTGCCTACTTTAGGATATACATCACCACCAAACTTTCTAAGTTACCAGACAGCTATACCAACACAACCATACGCATCGTGTTATGCACTATTTCTTAGCCAACCTCCAAGCGAACCCAGATGCAGACATGTTTATGTGTTAATGTGCCCACCCCAAGGCGTCGAAATCATACTAAATATTTCTATGGGCAGTTCTTATGGCTTCGGGACGCCGGGTTGTCGTGCGATTACATGTAGTATAGATCCAAATACTTGGTTTACTGAATATACTAAACTATCCTAAGAAAATAAAACGGAGAGCAGCGTTGTGACTGCATGACCGGGCGCAATGAGTGTTTAACAAATGCGAAACGTAAACAAGTTATATAATTCACAAGATGCTTTTTAACTGTTACCTTCACAAGGGTTTCGTCTTTTTGTGCTTCCTACAACCTACTGCCCGACCACAGGAGAGAATAAAGCATGGCAACAACATGCGAATTGAACGGAAACTTTAACTCCTATATCACTTCTGTCAGTGTGGTGTTCCGTATGAGTAAAGTCATTAGTTACAGCGGATTCCGCTGACAAAGCGTAAATGGTCTGGAGTTGCAGACGTGGCTTTGGTGTCTTAAGCTAAAAAGTTACTTGTTTCATCCGATAGTCCGAGTAGTTTAGAAGTGCTGGTTCTACTTGGTCGTTGTTATGCTTTCCAATTGTGATGTTATGATCGAGGATAAACGTTCAGTCAGTTCTGTATACGCAGAGATACTGGCCCGAGTAAGCAGATTGATGGGGCTGAGGTACATTATCTGTACGGATTAAGACGGCATTTAATAAGCTGGGATTTAATTTATGCTGGTACGCCTACTACTTGCGCAGGATGGTGTATGTGTAAGCCCTTGCTTGTGATGGAATAGGCCAGCGGTATAATTACCATGGACAGTTGTTTGGATTTTTACGGGGTTGGTGTTTTGTACGTGGGAATAATAGCGTGGCTGAAGTGGAATGCAATTTTAGCTCAGCCATTTTCCATATTTCTTAAAAATCCAAGTTTTTGAATATTGCTAGCTTAGGTACATATTAAAGCGTCGGGCTGTTGATGAAACTGTTGCACTAGCTTGTGGGCTGCAAGATGTTATGTATTAACCTCGTTATGCTTTTAGCCTAATGGGTTGAGTAGTCTGCTGAATGCATCATTAAAATGTAATCTAGTACCTTTACCCGTTACATTGAGGTAGCTTAATCTGGTCAGCATTAAAAAATACGTGCAATCCTCTCCAGGTACCAGTCGTAAGAATTGCTTATAACTAACACATAAAGCTAGTTACACTGCTAAAATGCTGCACCTCATCATCAGATGACGGCACTTGTATAAGGTCAGTGTGCAGTTGTTCAGTACAAAATGTTGAAGCGGGAACGACAACAAAGTGGTTCCAAGTGTGCCTCTGCTCATTACTTTGCTGTCCTTCTAAGCATGTATAAACACAAATTTGAACAAAGCGTTCGGTCATGAGCTCATGAGAAGTACTTATGTCCGGATGCGACAGTTACCTCCGTGGATAGCAAAATAGTCAGTGCATAGCTGTAGGACTTAACAAATTTAGAGCAGACTAAGAAATATTGCAAACCACAGTCCTGTTAGATGCATGCAGCAGAACGTAGCAAGCTAAAGTAATTTGTTGCGCTGAGGATTATATATACCATGGACAGCTTAGTAGACTGCATTCATTGCAGAAAGTTTAATTTTCTTTACTAGGTTGGTTTGATATGTTAATCAAAAATCATCCGCGACGGGTGTTCGGTTAGTGTGAGTCATATGAACTGAGGAACGCGGTATTGTTACCAGGTTTTTTACTGGAAACCCTTATCTGTAGTGCCATTGTTTGCATACCAAGTGGTTTTTGCTCGTTATAAACTGTGAAGTACGGACAATCTAACTAATGGTAAGGAGCCAAACAAGTACTTGGGCGGCTAGCTTTCTGTTGCCGAATGTACTGCGGCTAGGTTTTTAAGGCTGCAGGCATTTTGAGAATAAATACCGATGTATCTTTTGATGCTAAATGAACTTCTGGAGAAGTTGGCCAGAAACCCTTTTTGATGTATGATTTTTCTTATAAGATGGTGCCTTTGGGTCTCGGTGAACGATAAGCGCTGAAGTTTCTTGAGAGCACGTCAAGCGTTTTCTGTAAAGTGAAACATACATGGGCCCTAGTGAGATAAATCGCTTACTGGCTGAAGTATGTTTGCGAACTTTTTGAAGGAGCTAGTTGCAGGGTAGTTCTTTAGGGCCTAGATTATGTCTGGTAGTGCCACGGTAGTAGTAGCGGAGTATCCATAGTTATCAAGAAACCCGAACTTATGCTAGCCGTTTTCACACTTGTTAGGTCTGATAATAAAGCAAATGTTTTGTTAATTTTTGAACTACAGGTCAAAGTAATTTCAGAAAATATGGTGGTGGTTAATCCTCTAACTAATGAATCCCACTTCCTCCTTCAGCTTTAAAAGAGACCTCAACTTTTAGTAATTTACAAAAGTAGGAAGGCATTTTAGGTACTCTTTTATGCCGAATGGCGTTACAACAGATGAAGATACATCTTCTGTAATTGTATATCTTTCTTATTTATCGTACACATGATATATCCTACAAAAGGCTGAATTACCGACAACAGATAAGGTTAGGCCGCGCATAAGAAGAATGGGATACTTGTCTTGGACGGTCACTTTATTTAGCGCTGCGTAATAGGTGTAGGTGGGTCAGCTACTTAGTTTCCTCATATCTAGTGCACCTGTGATAGCTGCGTTCTGTGCTTCGTGTCACTTGGCTTTCTGACCCCGATTTGTGGATGTTCTCGTTCATGGAAGTGCTTCGTCACTCTGTCCATTTTATTAACTAAAAAGAATTTCGTTATGCACATGGACTCTGCACCAAGCGCGTTATTCTTTCCCCTTGATTGTACCATCGGCTATAGCTTAAGAGACGGTCTATACGGGTTGCTCCATATTACAGCTTTTGTGCATATTGTTTCACGTCACAAAAAGTAAGTAGCCATCTACACGAAAAAGGTTAGGATACTGGCTGAAATATTCTCTGAAGGGTTGTGAGGCTTTATGTTAAAGATGAATTAAGTGGTCATAGACACCTTAGCACTAATGCTGACGACACTGAGACGTGTATAGAAATCGAGCGACTTTTGCCTTTTTGTAGTAACTAGTAAATCAAGATGTCGAAGAAGGCAAGTCAACAAGTGCTTTATGCACCCAGAATGTGTGAGTATTCAGTTGTAACACATACACTTTCAGCAATGCCACGTACTATAAATGCCATGCACAAATGTGGATTAATACATGAAAGGAAACCATTGCTTCATTACATGATCCGTTTTGGTACTTCTCGGACAACTTTGTTTTGGCCTAGCGCATATCGCACTAGGTAAGGGTTGACTGACTAACCGTACGCTTATATTCGGGCGGATATGGATTTGTACTTTTCTCTGGTTTAAAAGGTTGACACGCACTCGAACAATACACAATGGTGGGGGTGACTTGTGTCTGTAAGTACTGTTGATGCTAGTCTCTTGCAAGAACCAACAAGTGTGGATACAAGTTTAGCAACAATCGTCAGCTTTGATACACCGCTGCATCGCGACTACTGCTTTAACAACATGGAAAATAAACTGGAGTTCCTAACCAATAGGCCATAAAAATTCCTGGTGGGCAGTAAATCCAATGTGGAAGA